TCGACCGCATAAAGGGTGCAAATGGCATCGGGTTGTCCTCCGAAATTCTCTTGATTGTAACAAGAAGCATCGGGAATGGCACATCCATTGAAACACAATCCGAGGGTCCACGAACAGCCCGCCTCCAAACATTGTTCGCACGAGGGCTCTTCCCCTGAAGCAAAGGCGGGGCAAGTCGGGTCCCCCACTGTGGTTGGTACCGTGGTTTCGGCGACTACCGTCGTTGGAGCTGTTGTCTCATCACACGTGGTGGTACCACATCCTGCCGAGTTACACCCTCCTGTTCCACAAATTTCCGCGCCGGGATACCATTCACACGCATCGCCCGTCGTTTGTCGCGTGTTTACACATTCCTCACACGTATTGCCATTATAGCAAATGGCCGCATTTTCTTGATCCATCACAACCAGTGCACAAATGTCGGGAGGCGATTGTCCTTCCAAAATCTCTTGATTGTAACAGGTGACATCTGCAATGACATCACACTGATTGAAACACTGTCCCAAAGCCCACGAACATCCCGCTTCCAAACAGTCTTGACAGGTAATTTCCTCGTCATCTGCACCAAATGCGGGACAACTCCCAAAGGTGGTCGGTACAGTAGTGAAACCATTGGGGGTGGGCAGTACGGTCGTGGTGGCTCCCACAGTGGGTACGGTAGTCCCTCCTTGCACGGTGGGTGCCAAGGTACTGGTTCCCGTCGCAGTGGGAAACGACGTGCCGGAAGGTTGACTGGTGGTGGCAATGGCAGTGGCAAAGGCTGTGCTCGAAATTGTGGTCAATGGAGTTGGCAGAGTGGTTGCTGCTGTTGCTGCTGCTGCAACACCACTGCTGGGCATGGTGGTGGGTTGATTGGTAGTAGCCACGGTGGGTACCAGGGTAACGAGTGATCGGAGTTGGATAAAGTACTGGGAGTAGTAGTAGCGGGAGATGCCTGCTGAATTTTGTACAACGATAGTAACATCAATACTCAGTTGTAGGCTGTCGGTTCGTTGTGGTTGTCCAAAGAGTGGATCAATGACCAAAATTTCAGTCGATACTTCGCTCTTGGGGTCACTGCTGGTATGCGTAATCCCGGAAGTCGTAACGCCTACACACTCGGTGTTTTCTTGTTGCGTATCAGACTGAATTAGTAGAGAGGCGGTAGCGGAATCGTCTTGCAGGGAGACTAGCATGTTAAAGCCTCGAATGGGCGTGGTGTCAACGTCATTGGTCAAGACGACCAAGGGCATTCTAAACTCGGCGCCTTCCGGGATAAAGCTCACATCTTGGCCGGTGGTGATTTCCACTCCATCCAGTTGCACGGAAAACAGGGTGTCCAGATTCCCGGTTTCCAATGTATCGGCAGACAAGTGAGCTCCGCCCAGTCCATCACTTCCTACGACACAGCTAAGAGCCCCAAAGGAAGATGCTTCACACTCTTGCGGCACATGTAGCAGAAGAATCAGGGAGTATAGTGCCGAGAAAGACCACAGAAAATTCATTGTCGTCTCGAGAATAGAAGCAGGCTACCCATATCCCAACCTGGATAAATCAGTCAACCAATCAGGATGTTACTTGGCTTGGTTTAGTTTGGTTTATGGCTTTTATAAGGGAAAGGTACTGGCTAGAGTAGAAGATGAGCTTGCTGTTGGTGATAGTGATGATTGTCTTGTGGAACAAACATGCACAGGCTCGAGTCTTCTGTTGGATGCAGCTCGATCATCGTCATCTGCTGGTTTGACGACACAAGAAAAATCACGAGCAACCGCGAACCCACGTTATTCGCAGAATCTTTTGCAGGACTCACAAAGACATAAGATGATGACTTCTCAATACGGCTACACGTGACAATGAAGATTCTTGGCTTCAAATTTTCAAAAATTTGGTGAGACTTGCTCACATCTCATCATCAGACAGAGTGTTGGAATTCATCAGAGGCTGAGTGAGCAAGATGCATTCATTCAATCTAGCTAGCTAGCTAGCTAAACGAGAGAGTTGCTTTGTATGCCCGAACTTGTGCAATGATTGCTCTCCCAAAAATGCAGGCCATTCGTCATTCGTCTTCTTGGCAGCGTCACAGATGCCGTGCATCCTAAAAGTAGGGAAACCACACCCCCTTTCTACTTGCTTTAATATACTAGTATTTGTAACAGTCTATCAGTGTGGAATCGTTGCTTTGGAGTCAAGTTGAATATATAGATTTAGCCTAAACTTGGACAGTAGTTCGTACATGTAGCTAGCCAGATGCTCTAGGCTTTCTTCTATCTGCATGTATCTGATGTTTATTCGGGAGTACCGTATGATGAATCGCCGCAGTAAGCAAGGGGCCGAGAGTGAGAGATGTCCCTACATGCTGCTAGCTAGTATGCTCCATGTAGTAGTACTAGTAGTTGACAGCGACCGTCGAACCCCATGGTCCTCGAGTACGAACGTCAAACATAGCGGGACTCTGAAAAGGGAATGAAATCCCTGGCCCACGGCCTGCCCGATCGGAGCTTTGACTGCAACAAAAAGGACACCGCAAAAAGGAAACAAATCGAATCGAATCCCACGGCATGGCCTTCAGTTCCCATCGGGTGTTGCTGTGCTGCTGCAACCCGAAGTTGTGAATTCGTTTGGTGCAGCCTCACTTACTTGTGGAGAGGGTATTGTTTCTTTTTTTTTTGTCCAGTATTGCTGTATTCTGATACGCAGGGATAGATAGATTGAAGGCTGGCTGCAATAATTTGGTTTGCTTGGTGGTTCGGACTTCCCTCCGTATGACTGCCGCACCGTACCTCGGCCGCCTGCCGTACTGTGCTGTTCTCCGCTTGAAAATGATGTACATGCGCCATACTTTAATTTAGACGAAAACCAAGTCCAAGAACGCAGTCCTACTAAAGCTTGCCCTAACAGGGACGAAAAATTAACTGCTCCTTTATTACGGCGGACTTCGTCTTGATTGGTTCGCCTGAAACTATACTAAGCATTCCAGGAGCGCTGGTTACCAAACTGAAGCTTGCCAAGCATGTTCCTCGAACCATCATTGCCCCGCTGATGGATTGGGCAAGCTGGACTACTAGTACATGTTGGACCAAGCTTGACCCATGAAATATCCATAATTAATGCAAGACCGCGGTTACTCCAACCCTTCTGGCCTCTCCTTCAACCGCAGCTGCTATTTTTGCAGATTTCTTCCGACGTCAAGCGAACCATTGGTGACAGGGAACTTGATGCTGTACTGAATGGTCACAGTGGAATTGGATACCCTAAGAATTCGTGGCTTCAAAAAAGGACAAGAACAGACGGTGAGAGCTTCGGGTTGGGATATCTGACATTTTCCCCCTCTACTATTCTCTACACAGTGCACGTATTTATAAATGCAACAATCAATCGAGTCAAGGGGGAAATTTGGCAAATATGGCAACAATGAGAATTAGGGACTGAGTTGGCACTTCACCGATGTGGCCTCTGTTGACGGTCAGTAGAGTTAAGTCTTGGCTGCCTGGCGTGGGAGGCAGCTGCTTTCAGCGTCAGGCATTCTTATTCCAGTTGGTGCCCTGGTGTTGCCAAAAGCAGATGGAGTGTTGACCTTTTTGCCATTAGCAGCTGAAGCAACTTCACAACAGCAGTTTGACAATTACATTGTCACGGCATAAACACGATATCGAAACGTTAGCAGCAAACAATAGCATACAAGAGCAGCAGCAGCAACAAGAAGAGGAAGACTCTACCATCAGAGAGTATATAGTAAGCAACAGCAAGAGGTAACAGAGCAGCATGTCGGATATCTACGGTGATTTCGACGACAGCGACGATCTCGAGGTACGAAAGAACCGCCACCCAGCGTCTGGCCTCCGGAGCGTGCGCGTCATTCGTAGCAATCGAACCAGGACCGGAGAAACAAGTCATTCTCTCTTTCTATTAGCACACATCGACAATGGCACATGAACCGGAGCTGCGGCGACCGCAACGGGCTGACGGAGAGCCATGGTCTTGACTTCGCTGTTGGATGAAGAGCTTCTGCTGATCCTTTTGTTGTGACGTCAGCACTTAAGGGTCCTGCAACGTCAGCACTTAAGGCTTCCGTGTCGTATTTGATCCAAAGCTGTTCCATTCTTAGCGATTGATGTCGTTCCAATGTCACTTTTTGAATCCCGTGCACTCGCCAGGTTAAAGCTCATCTGCCGTTTTTTATTTTCAATTTCTTTTCTTTTCCAGGGCGGCGACGAGGAGTTCGGAGGCCTCGGTTCCATTCTTTCTTGGGACGACGAAGAAGATCATGTGGCCAGGACATCGGATGCGGATGTCAATGCGGCGCTCGCCGGGAAAACGGGGGGTGCCGCTCTTCCTCCTGGGATGGTGAGCTTTTCTTTGAGCAAGGACGGCAATGGCCAGTTGTATCTGCCTCAGCTTGGAGGGAATGGTGCAGCCAATGGCACGAATTCAAATACGGATCAAGCCACTGGACTCCAACTGCCAAACCCCACGCTCATCAATTTTGCCCAGGAACAGGCGCAAGCCATGGCTCAGCATCAGCAACAACAGGTCCAGCCACAGCAGAATCAGCAGCAGCAGCAAGCGCAACAGCAGCAAGCTCAGCAGCAGCAAGCTCAGCAGCAGCAAGCTCAACAGCAGCAAGCTCAACAGCAGCAAGCTCAGCAGCAGCAAGTTCAGCAGCAGCAAGCGCAGCAGCAGCAAGTTCAGCAACAGCAAGCTCAGCAGCAGCAAGCTCAGCAGCAGCAACAACAACAGACCGTGGCGACCGGACTCCCAGGGGCTCAAGCCATGCAAAATCAACAGCAACCACAAGTCATTGCTGCGGCCCCGGCGGTTCAACAAGGTTTGACTCAGGCTAATTTTGCTATTTTCCAGCAAAATGGAGCCACAATATTGCAGCCCGCGAACGGGAAGCAACCGCAACAGCAGCAACAAGCTCTGTCCATCCAGCCCGCGCCAGGAACAATTGCTGGAATGGTCTTGCAGCAAGTTGGCCAGTCGCAACAAGTTCATCAGGTTCAGCAACAGCAAATACAGCCTCAACAGCAGCAAGTGCAAATACAACCCCAGCAGGTACAACAACAAGTTCAGCAAGTTCAGCAGCCGCAGCAAATCCAAGTACAGCAGGTACAACAGGTTCAGCAGCAACAAGTTCAGCAAGTGCAGGCGCAACAAGTTCAGGCGCAGGTACAACAGTTGCAACAAGCTGCTGCTCAGCAATTTCAAATAACTGGAGACGCCAATGCGTTCCTTCGACAGCTGCAAGTGGCCCAAATCCAGCAGCAGTTCAACGCCCTACAGCAACAAGGTGCGTTGGCCCAGGCTCCAATGGGCACGCCCCAGCAGCAGGCTCAACAACAGGCCGCGCTCCAGCAGCAGCTCCAACAGCTTCAGCGTGGTCAAGTTCCCTTGGTAGCTGTTCCCGCCCAGCAGCAGCAGCAACAGCCTCCTCAAGCACCTCCTCCCGCTCAACCAGCGGCACCACCGCCGGCAGCGGTTCCGGTCGTTCAGCAACAACGTGCGGCGGCGAAGCCTCCCCCGAAACCGCCGGCCACCAAGACTAGGACCACGACGTCCCGAAAAAGGTCTCCTGCGACGGCTTTGGGAGTCGTGTCTGCAAGCGATACGGATGGCGAGCTTTCGAGGGTCTCGAAGAAGTCAGCAGCGGAACTTACCTCCAATTCCAAGAAGAGGAAGCCCCCGGAACCGATCGATACTTCCAACATGACCCCAGCGCAGAAGGCCAAGGCGAACCGTGACCGAAATCGAGAGCATGCAAGAAATACGCGTCTTCGAAAGAAGGCATACCTCGAGAAGCTCAAGTCGACGGTGGATGAATTATGCAAGGAGCGAGATACGCTGGTATCGGAACGAGCGGGTGCGGCGAATTTGCTTGTGGAAATGCACAACACGAGGACCGAAGTACTCATGTCGTTCTTTGCACTGAGATCCACCAACGAGAAGCGAAGGAAGCTTTGGGCGAGCATTCTGGACGAGAGTTGTTTTGCGTGCGTGATGCCCGTCACACCGTATCGATCATTTCCTGCGAGCGAAGTCCAGGTATCCAAGTGTCAGAGAACTGTCCTTGGAATTGATGGAATGATGGCAGATACGGCGTCGCTCCATGTCCTTTTGAGTTCGCTTGTTGACAGATCCAAGTATCCTCATGGCAAGATTGAATTCTGTTACACGCTCGTTACTGAAGAGGCTGTGGTTGCGGGGAATCAGATGATGGCACGGTGGGTGATGTCTACTTTGAATGCCACACAGTATGGCGCCCGAATGGAAGTCGCGAAGCAAGGAATGCTTTGTTGCAAATTCAACAGTGCGCATCGAATCACCGGCCTGGAGCTCATGTTCGATGTCATGGCACTGATGCTGCAGCTAAAGCAAGCCGCTGGATCGGAGAGCTTCTCGGTCATCCCGAATACGGTTCAGACTTGCCAACGATCGTTTGACAAGCCCATGGTGATGACGCTAGCGGACGGGCCGTACACGATTGTACAAGTCAACCAGCTGTGGGAGAACATGACTGGCTACAAGGCGGAAGAAATCGTTGGGAAGACATCTTGTAGCGTACTCCAAGGACCTCTCACAGACAAGGCTGCTCTAAACGAGTTGATGTCGGAAGTACGTTTCAAGAGAGCAGCTTCTGTGATGCTCGTGAACTACACGAAGTCCGGAGAAAAGTTTCGCAATTACGTTGTGGTCTTTCCTCTGAGCACGGACTCGCGGATAACACACTACTTGGCACTCACTTCCTTTGTGGAACGAGTGACCGAGAACTCTGTGGCTGTGGCTGCCCCAACTGCGCCCGCCGCTACAATCTCACAGCAGCAACCTGCTGCGACGACGACCGGATTCAATGCCAACACGGCGGCATCCGCCGGTCAAATGCACCAGATGCTGCAGAACCAAGCCCAGTCCATACAAGGCAATGCGGCTGTAGCGCAGCAACAGCAGCAACTGGCCACTGCTGCACAACAACAGCAAGTGGCTTTGGCCAATGCCACGGTACAGCAGCAGCAAGCGGCATTGGCCAATGCCGCTTCGGCCGCTCTCTTGGCGCAATCTAACATGCTTGTTGCCACCTCTGGGGTGGTGCAAGGGCAGATGCTCCCACCACCCGTCAACACGACAAGTGCCCTGGTCCAACAGCAACAAGCTTTTCCTGTACAAAATGTGACGCCACTATCGGGTGACGTTGTGGGCACCTCCCAACTTGCACAGGTTTGAATGGGGATGGCTGGCAGCCATGCACTACTACACGAAGAGCCCTGAGTAACACATTGCAGTGTTGCATCAGGTGGACGATGTCGCCAGCTAGTCGGGTCGAGTCAGCGCAGGTGCTGGACACCACCAAGCACTAACCCGGAACTCGTTTTGGCGCCGCCCCCTTTTACACTCGAGCCAAATGATTCAATCGTTCGGATCGAATGAATCAATCGATGAACTCATTGATCATTGCACCACTACCACCTACGAATACGATACGTACATACATACCCACGCACACTCATTTGTATTAATTTCCTCTCCAAGTTGAATCGAAGCGAATCATCCAAGTAAGTTGTCTCAACTCAACCACGGAACAATATTCCCCGAGCTAGTGAAGGCCAAGAGATACATTTTACAAACATATATATTATCGAACATTTGCACTCTAGATACATTCTCTAAACCCCTACGACTATTAATTCTAAGAATGTGTACTTTTTTTCTTCTTCTTCCGATCGTACATTATTGCATTACCACTTGTAGCCAGCAACACGCTAGCTAGCCAGCTAGGTTCAAGAGGAAAGAGTGGTCCCAAAATGAAAGTTCCTCGTTATGCATATGGTGCAAAAAGCCACATGTAATAGTAGAAACGCTGGAACGACTTTCCTTCTATTAATAATGCCAAGTGGACCTGGATCGCGAGGTTTTTAGAGCAAGCGGGGGACTTTTTTCACTTACTTCTAAAGTAGAGTAGTTTCTATCCTACCGGTACCGGTACTGTAGCTAGCTAGATACCCCTGTTTCACCTACCAGTGATCTGCCGTGTTGCTCCAACACTTGAATGACCTTATTATTAAAATAGTGAGGACCTGGAAAGCTCATGGCGTCGATGGCTGGTTATCTTCACGACCTCGGTGCCTCGCTCATTGCTGGCCAGTTTCATTCAAGATACAACCTCCTCACGAAAGTACTAGCTAGCTCTAGTACCGTATCTTTTCCCAACAAACTCGCACACTGAAACACCCGTAAACCAAGATCCGTTTGGTTCTTGTTTTTTATTGATTTATTTGAAGCGAAAGATGCCTGGCACAAACACTAAGCCAGTCAACACCGATGCGATGACCTCTATTAAGCCTTTCTTAGGTCATTTTTCGCTTTTGGACCGTTGGTGCGTGAATCACGGTTTGGTCGCTTCGAAATTCCAGGAAGCAAGAGAGGGGAAGCTTCATGCTGCCACGTTACAACAAAGCAACATCAAGCAAGTCCGAACAAATCACTCAAAGCTTGTAGCTAGCCAGCTAGAGTTGAACATAATTCAACCTGAAGAACGATAGATCACAACACAACAGACAACAACAAGAACAAGAACCATGCAGCAACGGTGTAGTATTAGTAGCCGAGGTCCTTCTCCCTTGGAGCGGGCAACCTCTTGTCCCGCCATTATTTGCCACAGCACGAGGACACCACTGATAGAAGACACGGACGAATCTCTCCCTACTTCTACTACTCCTACTCGACTGGAACGACGACATTCCTTTGATGGATTTTCCACACCCGACGACTCTTCTGCACAAAATGACGTCGCAGCCGCAGATGAAGCAGCAGCAGCCGCCGAATCCTCTCGATTTCGCAAAGCCCGTGTGGCCATTACTGGTGGCACGCTGACGGCGGTAGGGTTGGTCATGATTCCCTTGCCGATTCCGATGGGGTTTGTCGTGGCGACGGCTGGAATGGCACATTTGGGACAAGAATTTCCAGCCGCACAACGCATGCTCGACCATACCAAAGAACGAGTGGTGGAAGCGTGGACGACCACAACAACGACCACAACGACGACGACGAAACAAAAAGAAGACACAAATACTAGTAGAACGCCACAGAAAAAACCAAATGACACGCTAGTGGAATCACCCACGAGTATTCGGGCGGTTTGGGAATTGGATGATGATGAAACCATCATGTTTGATTCACCGGGATTTCAAGAAGAAGATGTAATGGTCAACGTGTGGCAGGCATGACTCCAACAAAGCAAAGCAATCCACACCTCTAGCTAGCTAGTTATTGGAAGCTCTTTTTTCAAAAGCAATTCTATTCTCAATATAGCCACAGATTCTATTCTCTCTAGCTAGCATGTACCTTGGTCCAAGAGGAAATATTATATATCTCCAACAATCATACCATTCCCGTGGTCTAAACTTGGCTTGTAGACACTCAATCCGTCTTCTAAAGATACAGTTAGCCAAGGGATACATCCTTGTTATCACCAGCTAAAGTATGCCTATGCCCTTGCTTGATAGCCTGGACCAACAGGAAGGGAGACTCGATATGACGCCGAATAAGAGGAGGCCAAGAAACAAACGTTTGGCTGGGTACCAACATGTACACATACCAGGCCACCGTTAGATCGACTATTAATAGTACCGCTACTAGACTAGCTAGAACAGCCATCAGGATCGCTACCGTACGGTATGTCACATCAAAGTGGCGGGTACTTACTACATGCGCATACTAGCTAGCAAACAGCAGCCAAGTATGATATGATATCCGGGAATGCATGCCTCTCCTCTCAGTACTACCACCGGTAGAGAAGCGGTATTGGGTCAGCCAACCGGGCGGAAGGTTGCTGCTGTCTCAATTCTTCGTAAACAGGCCACCGAAAAAGGGGAAAACACCTCCATCCGCAGCTTTTCTCTACTAGGCAATCAAGTCTGTGGGGCAGCTGGCCTTCCCGCTCTTGGGGCAACAGCTGTCAATCAAGAACCCGTCATATACATAGTTAGCTCCACTAGCTGCTCCACTGCAGTACTTAATTAAGTAATTGTTTGAGGTCCGACGTTTCCTATCAAAGATTTGCTTCCTAAGAATTGCGACCATAGCATAATTTGCTGGATGCACCATCATGGCAGGGTTCTTGTATGGTATTGTTGGACTGGAAGCGTCAAAGCTCCTCGGATTGTTGGTTGATTTGAGATGGACCATCGATGCTGCTACTATCGTTGTGAGCCGCTGTGATGTGAGCCACTTTGACTCCTGTCACGGTTCGCCTGCACGACTTTGGCATTGTTCAACGATCGTTCGACGAAATTTTGGAGTGGTCGGGCTGTACTTCTTGGAGAGAGCCAACTAATAGAATAACAAAACACCACAACCAAAGCCATGTCTACCACCAGCACCAGCAAAAGCGACACTAAGAGCCAACATGGAACAACAACAAAAAGAATACGGATACTAGGCAATGCAATCGTTGCAGTTGCTCTCATTGCTTTCACGAACAGTACTCGAGTAAATTTGCAAGAGTTTCTTACTGATGTTTTAGAAGCGTTTGAAGAGGAACCCAACAATGGTCAACTGTACAACAGCAGAAAGTTGGATATCACTACTGACGACGCCGCAATAAACTGCATCGGAAAAAAGAATGTTGGTGATGATGGCCTGATTACTATTCCCTTGCAAACCATCACAAACGGTGACGACTACCCAATCGAGTGCCCTGCACCGTTGACTCCAATCTACAACTACATTCCCAATCGTACTGCTCTCGCCAACAACGAAACCAGTCTACCAGCACCGAGACGCATTCCCCGAATCATCCACATGAGTATGAAGTCGAGGTGCGCTCCTCAAGATTTGGTAGAAACGTTTGAACGTTGGAAGCATCAATTTCCATTTCATGAAATCTACTTTCACGATGATAAAGCCGTCGATGCTCTTCTAGACGCCTATGATTGGCACGAATTTCCTCATTTGACCAAAATGATGCGTTGCGTCAAATTCAAGGGCGCCATGAAGATTGATGTTTGGCGCATGCTGGTCGTGTACAAGTACGGAGGTATCTACACGGATGTTGACAATCGACCTTCGGATGCCTTGAACGAACATTCACCCATCAAAGTCGACGACGATGCGTTTTTCTTGAGCGATGGTTGGAACCGACCGAGCCAGTGGTTCTTTGCAATGACACCCAAGCATCCCATTGCGTACTTTACAGTTCATGAGATTCTGTCGCGTCTGCATGCCTTGGAAAACATTGGCAATCCAAAGGTGGTGTTTGTCACAGGACCAGGTGAGATTTTTTGCTGTGAAGTCTGCTTGCAAATTTTACATTGATTGCCTCTGATTTCTTATTCCACTGGATGCGTTTCTCCCAGATGCATTGAAGCATGGTTACGGACAAGCCATGTTGTGGGGCGTAGATGAGAAGCGCAACAAAAAACAAGACATTTATGCGGAAGGACTCCACGTAGGCAAGTTTGCTTTGCCGGATGCTTGGAGGGGCATTTCAGACGTTTCTGTTTCTTCTCATTGCTCCCTTCTTCTCGATGACCAGGTATCCAAAACTTCACAGCATCCAAAAGGAGAAACGGGGATGACTACATGATTCCGCAAGCCATGGAAGAAATGGTCCAGTACAATGGCACAAACATGACGAAGAAGCAACGAATGCACGCCGAAAGTGGAATCCCTTACTGGCAAAAGGAAGACAGAAGCCACGTCTTTCGTGGAACTTGCATGCAGTTGCTGTACGCTCTGGATCATGCCCAAAAAGCATCCACGGAAAGAAACCAAACCAGCCACTCCGATCAAAATGAGGAGCTCCTGGAGAGAAAGAAACGCTGGTAGTCTTATAGAAGGAGTCACACATTCAATCCAGCGCTGTTGGACGCGATGTAGGAGGTAGGAAACTAACTGTTGTTGCGATTGAGTGGCTGTTGGAGGAGGGTGGCTGGGTGGTGGCGGGAGACGCAGCGATGTCCAAGCAAATTGGACGAATGTCAGTTGCTGTCGTAATCACGGTTGTAGTTTCCTTCTTGCCTACCGGTGCTTCTGAAGGTGCCCACCAAGGCTGGGATTGGTGAATAACCGACCTAATAGCAGAACTTACTTGGTGGATACTGTTCCTACTTTTGATCACGGACAGCAGTTAGTTCCGAACTGGCTTGGCCCGAGATGATGAAAGTTAGCAATTCTAGCGCTAGCTAGAGCCCTTCTTGGACAGACAGTTGCGGTGCTTCAGGAGCTAATACCTATTGCGTTTTTGCTTTGCAGTTTTCTTTTATGAATCAAATGTATGCATTTCTACCTATGGAGGTGACTTGTGATCTGCTGCGAACCTGCCCCACCCTCTGTGGCGATCCCTGCCTAGGTAGACTCGACTGGAGATTCAGGTCCAACTGTGTGAATGTTGCCACGCTCACCCCCCATTTTCACAACTACCTCCACAGGATACTTCAAACACTCGATTCTGTTGTGCTGGTTGTGCTCTTCGTCATCTTCGTACTTTTCCATCATTGCCGTGATGGCTGTCCAGACGAGCTTCGCTGTCATCTCAATGTCCTCACCGGAATAGACCTTCAACATTTCTCGTTCCTGCTGGCGTAGCCCACGACGGCGGCGGCCGCCGCAGCCACAGCAATTGACACAATGAACGTGCCCCACAAGTTGGCACATTCGGGAAGGAGCTTTGCACCCTCCAAGTCGACGATGGCTTTCACCAGGTTGATCGACTTCGTGCTCCGAGAAATCCAACTCTTCCTCCGCAAGGGCACGCTCACCCTCGCCATCGTTGGTGGCGTCGGTGGGGCTGGGATCAATGGCATCGTCGGGAAAGGTAGGACAGTCAGGAAACAAACAGCTATCAAGATCCCTGGTGACGACAGATCCATCCGCACACTCAAACTCTTCAGTGGTGTCGCAAGCTTCATCTGCCTCGTCAGACATTCCAGCTTCTTTCGCGAGTTTGGCGGCTTCTTTCGCCTCCAGGTCCGCTTCTCTCTGGGCCTTCTCTGCTTCCTCTTCAGCTTCCCGAGCTTCTTTTCGAGCTTCCCTTATTTTTTTGCGAGCTCTCCGTTTGATCCCATCGAACTTTGCCATGGCATTTTTGCCTGCTTGTTTCTTCCGATCTACATCTTTTCTCGTGAGGTCCACAACAGCCTTCTTGAGATTGTAGTACTCCTTCATGACGACATTCCAGTTCTCATCATCAATATTGGGCTTATCATCAAAACGCTTCTTTGCGTCCTTGAACTTGGCGTACTCTTTCTTCCAATGGGCGTACCTTCCATTCAGTGCATCTTCAGAGATTAGGTCGTCCCATCCATCGTGGCTCATTTCAATTCCAACGTAATGCAATGCTTCGACTACAAGATTATTCATCTCGTCATCATTGCAGTCTGTTAGTGAGTCCTCGGATAGCGTCCAGCTGACACCCACATCGTACACTCCCTCTGCATTGGCATAGCTAGCCAATCCAAGAAGCCCTGCTAGTAGTAGAAGGCGGATCATCGTGCGTTTGACTCTTTTTTGTATTTGTGAGAAAGATGCGCTTCCCTGATTTTTTGTGAGATCTGTACTCGTAGTCTAGTTGCTTCGGAAGTGGCATGCAGTCTTCGATTATTTTTGACCATCGAAGAGAGTAGATCCCGTCTCTCGCGGCGGAACAGTGGGACAATACATGAAACGCCAGGGGTACGGGGCAACTTAGGATTACCACAACAACACGGAATGGTTACGTACTATACGGTATACGGTTTACTACGGAAGTCTATGTAGTTCAGCTACGTCCAGTTACTAAACATTACGCATATATACGTACCATTATGCATTTCGAAACACATTGTCACAGAGTCCATATTTTGCCCCATACCCCAATGAAGGGCGAAGAGAGCTGCGAAGAGACAGATCCCATCTCATCGCGACAGTGGGACGGAGATGAAACGCCAAAGCAAAGAGTCACTGAGTCATTGATGAACCTAACGGGTGGGGGACCAAATTGTTATGACCAGGATTCAATGTTTTCTGCATAATTACCAATGCTTCCACTATGACTATCATACAGAGAGGCAAAGGGACTTGTTACAACCTCTTTATAGCATCAAAAGTACGTATTTACAGTTAGTTACTTAGTTAGTACCGCGGTAACCTGAAGGAGTTGCGGGAATATCGTACATGGTGTTTTAGAATGTTGTCAGGTTGAAAATGATTTCTTTTGGAAGAATGACAGAAAAGAGAAGCATTAAGAATTGGAAGAATGATAAAAACTGGAATAATGAGGAGACTCTACGCAACAATGCGTAACAGTCGGTAACAGATGACTAATCTGGAAGAAAACTTGAATTTATGCATGACTAAACGTGGAATTCCACACAAAGCAGCAGTTTATTTGATGGAAAGGAAGTGAGTGTAAAGCCCATTACCCGCAACGCTGACGTTGCTGCAGGGTGATGACTTACTTGGTCCAAATTTTCGAAAGGTGGACAGGTACATAGCTGGTTATTGAGGGCCCACGTGGTACTCGTACCACTAGCTACGGTACGGGGTCCAACTGTGCTCATGTACTGGAAGATGGGCAAGTCCTCTTATTCTAAAGGATATGATTGGATTTGATGCTTATTTTCATAAATTGGAACCATTTGAATGAACTTGATATTTTTAAAAAACATATATGCGAATTGAACGAATTAACTGGAAATTAGACTAGATTGGATTAGATTAGATTGTATTAGATAGATTGGATTAGATTAGAATTATATATAATTTTTGAACTTTTCTATAGCAATTTGTGTAGAACTTGCGAGTTTTCCAAGACTAAGATTAGATTAGATTGGATAAGATTAGATTGGATTAGACTCGATTTCATATTTTCGTTTCGTGAAACGGTCAGAATAGTCAAAGGTATGGTTGATGTTTTACAAAACGTTTTCATGAAAAGCTCAAAAAGAAACAGTTTCGGCGATTTAATCTTTTCTAATCTTTTGATAGGACTTTATTTCCCAGCTTCCTGGTACGATGTACCAGTACTGATGAGACTCATGGTCGATGGTGGATGGTCGGATGGTCCATGCTGGATGGTTGAAAGGAAAAAGATCCTCAAGAATCGAATCGGCTTTTGGATGACCTGATTTCTTCGATTGATCATTCCTGAAGAATCCCCATTCTCTCGATTCGATTCGATTCGATTCGTTCCTCATCAGTTCCATGTTGATCGAGTTCTTCAGGAGATTACGAGAGTAACATTTGTATGGGTTTTCAGAGGAAGAAGTGATGCTGATCGTCGTCCCAGCTCACCACCCTTCACGGAGGAACTGGAACATGGTGCGCGAAAGTTATGCGCTTTTCCGAATGGCCGAAACACTCCACAATGGCGGCTTTGAGCGGTCGACAATGACAGCGACACTGTCGATTTTTCTCGTTTCCCATGCCAATTCCGCAGCATTCTCAGCAAGAACAGGGGCTCCTGATGGGATATCCGGGTCTGTGGTGCCCTCCGGATAGGTGTTGTGGCCATCTGCCGTACAGTAAGTTCATTGTCAACATCATTCCGGACGAAGAAACATGTGTTGGGAGTTGGGAGCACCGGAAGGACGAAAATCCACTTTCCGAGTTAGAGCATGCATTATCACTACTAAGACAACCATACCCGACACTCAAATAGAGGCTGTCGGCTTGTCACATGGGTTGTTACTACCCACTAGGCTAGATGGCTTGGTGGTTACTATTCCTACTTTTTGATCACGAGCAGCGGTCAGCTTCGAACTAGCTGGGCGTTCATGCAGGCCGAGAAGATGAAAGCATTTATTCTAGTAAGATTAGACCTTCCTTGCGGTGGATCAGGAGGTAATCCTGTGCCAATCATGCGTTTTTGCTTTGCAGTTATCTTTATGAATCTACATGTATGCATTTCTATCTATCGAGGTGACTTGTGATCAGCTGCGAACCTGCCCCAACCTCTGTCACCATCCCTGCCTAGACCGGAGATTCTGGTCCAGCTGTGTGAATGTTGCCATGCTCACCCTGCATTTTCACAACTACCTCCACAGGATACTTCAAACACTCGATTCTGTTGTGCTGGTTGTGCTCTTCGTCATCTTCGAACTTTTCCATCATTGCCGTAATGGCTGTCCAGGCGAGCTTCGTTGTCATCTCAATGTCCTCACCGGAATAGATCTTCATCATCTCTCGTTCCTGCTGCTGGCGTAGCCCACGACGACGGCGGCGGCGGCCGCTGCATTTACAGCAATAGTTACAGTAGTATGTCATCCCACGTTTGCAATAGGCCGCTGCATCGTCGCAGTGCCCCCCAAGTCGACGATTGCTTTCACCAGTGTGTTTCCAGGGTTCGAACGTGGAAAGATCGACTTCGTACTCCAAGAAATCCAACTGTTCCTCCGCAAGGGAACGCGCATCCTTGTCCTCGCCATCGTTGGTGTCGTCTTCCGTGGGAGCTTGACTGGGGCTGGAGCTCTGAATTTCAGTGGGGCTGGAGCTGGGAGGGTCACTGGCATTGTCGGAAGTAGTACTGATAGGGCAGTCTTCAAACAAACAGCCAGGAAGAATCCTGGTGACAAGAGATCCATCGGCACAAACAAACTCTTCAGTGGTGTCGCAAGCTTCATCTGGCTCGTCGGACATGCCAGCTTCTCTCTCAAGTTTGGTGGCTTCTTTCGCCGCTTTGTCCGCTTCTCTCAAAGCCTTCTCTGCTTCCTCTTCAGCTTTCCGAGCTTCCGCTTGAAGCTGATCAGCTTGACTCTTGGCCTTCTCAGCGGCTTCTTTCTTGAGTTCTAGATCGGTTTTCTTTTTCTCCACAACAGCCTTCTTGAGATCGTTGTACTCCTTCATGGCGTCACTCCAGCTCTTTTCTCCAAAATCGAGGTTATCTTCAAAACCTTCGTCTGTGTCCTCGAACTCCTCGGCGTACTTTTTCTTCCATAGGGCGTATCTATCTCGCAGTGCATCTTCAGAGATCATTTCTGCCCAACCACCGTGGTCCATGTCAATACCAATATACTGCAACGCACGGATTACCACAATATGCAGCTTGTCCCTCTCGAGTTGACTGCAGTCCTTCAACAAGCCATCCTCGGGTGTCTCGGGTAGCGCCCAGCTGACACCCACACTGTACTGTCCCTCTGCATTGGCATAGCTAGCCAACCCAAGAAGCACTAGAATGGATAAACGGGCGAAAGGTTGGATGCGGATCATCTTGCGTTCGTGTGATTCTGTTTTGTATTTTGTGAGAAAGAGATCGGAGGGAGTTGATTATTTATTTTGTAAGAGATCCAAAGATCCTCTTCTTGGGAGAGTTCATTCGCGGAACGCGGAACAACAGTGAGAAAACCGTAGCCAGTGAAGAGTCACTAGGTCATTGATAATGCTCTACAGGGGGACTAAGTTGTTAATACCAGGATTACCCGTTCTTTCTGGTCTTAACTCCTAAGGCTTCCTCTTAAAGCTAAGGGGTTAAAGGGAGAGCTATGGGAGTAAAAGGCTGGAACAAACACCAAGCATAACAGCAAAACCAGACTAATAATTATTAGAATTGCGAACTGGCTGGCCAGCACCAGCCTGTTTAATTAATTCACCGCAAGAACTGATCACTGTATGTTGGTTTAGCTGGGCATTATAAACCCAAAAGCGAAAAAGCTTTACCGTGAAGGGTCATTAATAGATGAAAAGCATCACCAGGAGATAGGAGCGTGCCATAACAGATAAACGTGATCCTGGAGTCTGTTCTTCTCCTCCACCACTTCCGACTGGAAGAGAATCTTACGGTACAAAGCAAAGCATGTTTCTCTCGCGAATGTTGTAGCTTTTGGTTGCTACTATTAATAGCTGGGTAGCCAGCTATCTAGTTTCTTTGGAGGCCCAACCACCATCTGAATGCTGTGCAGCGCCATTGTTGGGATCCGCCCTACCAGATATCGAAGTGCAAATAAAGAAGGATCTATCTAGTAGACGGGTAGGGACAACTTCCCACGCGTCCAACTAGTACCAAGTTGCCGAATTTCTTGGTCACCAGCTATCCAGCCACAAGCCAGCTCCGCAGACAGGCAGGAAGCCATGAGTCGAGTCGAGTCCAACCAGCCAGTTGTGCCTCCAGTCCTTTCCAACGAAACCCAGCCGCACTACTAAAGAGAAGCCGAGCCTGGGATTGCTTAGCTGTTATTGGCAACTGCTCATCCGTTTCCAGTCAGGCATTGTGGCCGCATCCACTGCCATGCATCTAATTCCAACTTGCTTGAGAACCACGACCTGTGTAAGAAGGAGCATCGAATGTGCAGCCAGCAACTGCAAAGCGATTTCTACAGCAAGGCAGCAACAAATAGGCTAGCTAGTACATACGCCGCAGAAAAGCAACTCAATATGTTTATTAGCCGACTGTCACTGGATTCCTACTGATACCGTACGGTTGGGGTGGCGCTGGCTGAAGTACAACCGTACAACAACAGACATGGTTGCCAAACTTTTGTGGTTGTTTTGCAAGGTCATGTCGTCCACACGCTACCAATGGCGGCAGAAAAGGCCAAGCTAGATGAGAAGTCATAATTTCAGTGGAGCTATTCTTGAATTTGCTGGACGAAACAATACGATTCCTAAATGAGTGGAAGGGGTAAAGATCATTCTTTTCTCTTCCACAGCCATAATCAAAGCTTTGTAGATGCTGAAAAAACTTGATAGCCGCTGGATGCTTGTTGGAAGGGAGTTGTCTCCCGACGTCTCAAAACGAAACCGAACGATCTGCTCCCCTCACCAAAATAGGAATGATTGGGCTGCCCATGAGCTCATGCAAACGAGCAAAGAGCACCCCCTCCCCAACCATGGGCAGCAAAAGGGGAGAAACTGCTCTGCTTGTTACATTACCCTTTAGTTGCCTCTCATGGAGGTCATGAGCTCATGCAAACGAACAACGCACATCATTTGGACGATCAATGGTATGTGATGGCACACACCACCTGTGTTTTGTTGGTGCTCCAAATGATAAGCTTCTTGGAGATTCCTGATACCCAGAATAGGCAAGATAGGGTTGCTCATGAGCTCATGCAAACGAGCAAAGAACCCTCTCCCCCTAACCAAAGGCAGCAAAATGAAAGGAACCTGCTCTGCCGGCACCTTGCCTGTCTCTGATGCTGGCCGCCGACATGGGGGTCTTCCTTGTTTTGAAGCGCGAGGTAGCACAAAAGGCAAAGTCCAAATGCAATTCAGCTTTCTTGTTTCTTGGTGTAGATCGAAATGATCAGCGTGAGTAGCCCGACAAACACCAACACCTTGAGCGGGAAACAGCACAGCGGTGTGTCATCGTCATTCTCATCATCTTCGTGGTGGTCGCGTCTATGGCCACCTCTGGGCTGTCGGTGCCTTCCCTTCAGTGGGGACAGGGATTCTACATCAGCAGCAACATTGAACGATCTCAATTCAAGTCTTCCCGTCATCGTCGTGGAGTCCTCTTCTGCTGCATTACCTTCTCTCGTGGTGCCAGTGGGGTGAACTTTTGGATTTGAGTTTGGGGGGATTCTCTGACTGACGTCATAGCTTGGAACACGGCACAGCTGCTTTGTAAAAAATCAACCTCTTCTACTCTAGCTAGCTGGTGAAGCCGTACCGGTACCCACACGGTGGTGTTGGTTGTGGCCGCCAACTCCCACGCCATACATGCCTAGTAGCTCTTTGTGCAACGCTTATAGCTCATGGAGGCTGGGATCGTACGGTACAAGTTCTCACAGCACCAAGGTTGTCCGGGCTTCGAGGTTCTTTGCTTTGTTGGCTTGAAAATGCTGCCTCCAGCGGCTCCTGCACCTCAGGGCATTCACTATCAGACAGCCCAATCTGTCTTCTTTGCTTAGCAAGGCATTCACTACAGTCGCCCCTGTCGCACTTTAAATGGACGATTGGTTACCAAGAGAGTAAAAAATGATGCAAACAGTTGGCTGCCAGGCAATGATGTACTAACGTTATCATTCCAACAAGCAAAGTCAATCGCTCCCATGAAACACTTTTAGTACCGAGCGCTCTCCTATTTCCACTCAATCGAAAGCATGGTGCGTAAATCAACGGGATAAGAAGAATCGAACCACTGTATGGTACTAGTAGAGTATGGTTGATGGCAGCAAATAGCTACTTCCGCAACCGTTCCTCTGCTGCATTCTGCGTTGGGGAATCATTTGGCTACACAGGACTTGCTTGGTGCGATAACCCCATTCCGCTGTGCTGTTATCAACAGGAACCATGCGGCAGTATTGGTGGCCCAGTCCCTGATTTTCAGATCTGATTTGACTTGCCTTACATGTACATTATTGGTTTAGCAGATTCCGTACCGTACCGTAGCCACGGGTAGCTATTTTGTGTGTCGGAAACCTGTCGCAAATTGCATGTAGGAAGTAGGAATGGTCCGTCCTTTGTCAAAGTCATCAGGAAAGGTGAAAAGGTACCATTCACTGTTGTCGCCCGTACATGTAATGAACATGACGGATATATACTGGAACTTCGTGGTTCGGATTTGGTCGCAGCGTGTTCTACAGAAACGCACTTCAGAACGTAGTGACGAACTTTTGCGTCAAGTGGAAAGGGGAACTAATACAACCTACAATCTACGTTACATGTGATAAAGAACTTGTGTGGAATGTAAATTGCGTGGCACCTCCCTTCAATAGGAACTTAAAACAGAGTTTAGCTGAGAGTTAAGGATACCGAGTCTCAAAAAAGTCACAGGCAATTGGAAGCCGGTTTCGGAGAAATGCTCGCTCTCTCGCCGCCAGGAAGTGACCCGCAGCAAACAGCACAGCCAACAATTTCGACAACAAACTGCATGGCCTTACCTCCTGGCATCAAAGACATCCTCTCGACTCTTCACCTTCCTCAGCTACTTCTTCTACTACTAGCTAAAGAGATAGCTTCGCTAATCTATTCTGAGTTACTACATACTAGTGTGGTGGAGGATGCCAAAAGCCGACAAGAAGGAACAGACGAAGCAACCGACGAGGGAAAAGTCGCCGCGGCCGAGGAGCGAGAAGCAAAACTCGCTGCGCAAAGTCGTCGATGTTCTACAACATGTCTTTCGAAAGCGTGAAGAGTCACCGCCACAACGATCGAAGAAATCGAAACTGAACAAGAGGTACGTCAAACAATACTAACTAGCTAGCTAGCCAGAGCTGCGTCGAGGGCCGTAGCGGCGAGGCAGCAAACCGAAGACCATGGTCTTCGCGTTGAGCAGCCAAATGCCTCTGCACCGTCAGTGTCCATGCGAGTTCGCATTGTGTGCCGCGAAACAGCCTGTGTTCGGATTTGGGACTCGAAATCGCGAAGCCCGCGAGCGTGCCTACTTATGGAGAAGTTCGTCAAGCCGGCCGGACTTTGTCCCAGTTTCCTTCCACTTCGCATTTGGGCTCGTGGTGTGGGCTTCATCTGTTTGCCTGTAACCAGCCATCTGTTTAGGTGGTGTGTGTTGGAGACATTGGGTCGAAACCGAATTGGAACTGATCTGGGTCTTCGTGTTTGCGATATTGCTGGTCGGTTTCTTGCATTCTCCTGTCAACCAAGTGCGCAGGATGGCGAAAGTGTTGGTCTGATTTGCTGTTCTCCTGTTGGCTTTGCCGGTCTACTTGTTGCCATTTCACTCACCCCGTCTTTTGTTACTTTGGTTTCACATTGGCCATTGTCTTGCAATCCCACTACTATTACTACCACACTACTACCACCACCACGATGGCCACTACCATGGATCATCAATCGGTTCTGACACAACGGCTTCACTCTTCGCTGTTGGCTATTGCGGCGTACAAATCTCGTGGCGGTTCTATGGATGAAAGCAGCGGTCGACATCCTTCCCCGAACAAACGGCATTCCTACGATAGTTCGAATCCTGCATCAGACGATGAATTTCACCTGACGATTCCTTCCATACTCACACAAAGCGATGGTGGCTTGTCTCGCATGGACCAAAAGCTATTGGGAGACTGCCTTCAACCCGTAGTCAAATCTCTCAAGGCGCTCGATGCCGAGTCCTTGCTAGGTCTAGAGAGAGTTCAGAATGGGGCGCGTCTCTGTGATGGGTAAGTGCATGTACCAACATTGGTACCTAGCTAAGCTAGCCTACCTAGCTACTCTGCCAAGCAGAGTTGGCTTGGGCTGATCTTGGCACACACAACCAATCTCACCTCGTCTTTGTCCCTCTGGCTCTCCTGAACTTACCTTACCATCCATCTGCAGGGTTAATGTCCGCCCCATTCACGACGAAGTCTACCCGCGATACGAAAGCTTTGGGACCATGTCGTGCGTCCGGTATATCCACATTACGGAGGTACCGGAGCAGTATAGTATTGGCATCTTTGTCTTTCCGCCCTTTTCAAGAATACCCCTTCACGATCATCCAGAAATGTGCGTACTCAGTCGTCTGTTGTACGGAGACTTGCAGTGCCTCAGTCTGGATCTACCCCAAGACGATGAATCCCAGCCATCCACCACGCAAGCGGGGCAACCATCGGGACAACAACAACCACCACCAGAGCAACCACAATCGGTGCTGCGTCGTCCCTATGAAACACTAAAGGGGCGCATGTTTGGTAACAGCGCTCCTGGCAGTTCGCTTCCCCCAGGAGTTCCCGAAGGATCTCGACGAGCCTTTAAGAATTCCATTAGGCATTTGCACGCCCCGGAAGTCTGCGTCTTGTTCCCGTACAAAGGAAATCTTCACGAGTTCTATGCCGGGCCCAATGGTGCCGCCGTATTGGATATTCTTTTGCCACCCTATGATGTTGAACACGAGCGAGACTGCACCTTTTACGATATCCTCGAAGATCAGGTGGCAGCGGCACCATCCCCCTCGCAACCATTGCTGGTCGATGTGGATCCATCTGCAGTGGTATCTCCGGGCGCAAGGGATGTTCGTCAAGAACGAGAAGAGCAGTCGGAGGACCGAATTCCATGCTGGATTGTTCCGACGGATCAACCCCACGACTTTCATTGTCTCTCGGGGAAGTATCAAAAACTGGGCACCAATGTGATTGCTCTGCAAGATTAATAGAAAAAGGAGGCTACCTACCTAATGGAGCGCTGCGGCAAATTTTTCTAGTTTGCCGATATTAAAAATCAATCGACCGGAAACATAGAACAGTAGCTACAAGTGCATGGTTTCTTTTTTGTTCAAGGGTTGCTCGGCCATTGAATCGGATACCTCCGAATTGAAAATAATAGATCATTTTAAAGTTCACAATGAGCAGCTACATGTAGTTAGCTAGCGAGGAATAGGAAAGGAAACTGGAGTGCAGCGAATAATACCTTGCTTAGCCCGGAGCTGCTCGTGGTCGCGACTGCTGGCTGAAGGATCAATCAATATATACATACATGTAGCAAGCTAGCAAAGCCTGTACGAAACTAGACCCACCTCAAGATCAGGGCGTTCCGTTGCCATCATCGCTCCGCTGTGGCTTTGAAAACAGAGATCAAAACTCAAATGTGACCGCTGCTGCTGGTGGGGCTGTGATGAGTTCATGAAGCAATTTCCGAGCTGCCTTCTTTGAAGAATCTGATAAGTGGTCGACACGACATTTCCCAGTGACCTTTGTCAACCAGTAGATTGCCTCTGATTTAGTGGCACTCAAGCCATACTCTCCCTTGGCAAACCCAAATCCCAAGTTGTATGCTCCTACATCCGACCCCCCGGCAGCTGCAACAGAGCAGTAGGTCAGACCATGCGAATAGCACTTTGGTACACCGAAACCATCCAAATAACACTGACCCAGCATTGCCGTGCCCATGATGTTCCTGGCCTCGTGAGCTCGCTTGTACCAGTGGAAGGCCAATTTGTCATCTTGCTTGAAGCCATCGTTGCCAACAAAATAATACACTCCTACACTATACATAGCATCTGCATCACCTGCTTCCGCTTTCTTCAACAACTCTTCCATCTGCTTCTTCTGTTCCACCTTTTCATTCCACTTGGCAGCCAAATCTCCATCAATGACACCAGATTCGATCAAAGTCTCAATGGTGTTTCGATGCTGGATGGCCGGAAAAATTCTGGTGCCCATCTTTTCTCTGGTGATGGGGGATGTGAGATTCCCTGGATTCTTCTTGATATGCTCCTCAATGCATTCCCGCTCATAGACTCGTCCATCCTCAGCTGTCACAGGGTCCCATGGCAACTCCAAACTGATGGGACAGATCAAATCATCGGCTGCGGATTTCGTGGGACGCTTTGCGGGAGGTTGAGTTGCTTCAACCTTCTTAGATTGACGGAGCCGTTTTCGGAGAACCTGAGCCTTGCCTGATGCTCTGAGATTTGCTCTCTGGCATTCCAGCTGAAGTTGACGATAGGACATGGTGTCCAAATTCTTGTTGGCTCCTGTGGTGGACATGGTTATGTTGCTTTGGCAGTGCAGTTTCTCTCTCTGAATGAACCAAGCAATCTGGATGATCCTTGATGCTGCGGCAGCGGAGACTTCTCAGTTGTGGTTGTTGAAAACCCCAGTTTTGTTGAGAAGAACCGAAGATCTTTTCGATGTGTTCAAAAGAAAATGTGATCGTTCGTCGTGTCGTGTGGTCTCACTCGGTCCTCCGCTTTCTATGATAGTAGCTAGCTACGTACCGGTACTATGGCTCCTGCGACCGGAAGGGTGCCACCGTAGAGCTATGTAGAATTTGTACTAGCAAGGCTGGCTCGAAATGGAGAGTCTGAAGAACAATGTTTATTTAACGACACCACTCAAATTCATTTAAGGCACTATAACCGATAACACCAACCCTAATGAGTTTCGTGCTTTGTTCTTCCTCTCCGTGTGCGAGATCGATCGATCGATCAGTCGAGATCAGCCACACACATCAACCGGAGAGGAGAGGAGAGGAGATGGAGATGTATTGTCAATGCGGATAGGCTTTCAACCTTGATACTGTTGCAGAGCTTTGCCATGAACCCAGTTGATGGGTTAATGGCGTTGGTTTGTGCATCCTCTTGGTCTTCTAGCCGTAGCCGTGAAAGAAGATGAGAGATGAGGCGATTTTCCAAACTGGTCGAGTTGCACATCATGTGGCAAAATTTTGGAGGTGAGCCATGCCAATGATGGCAGGCAAGAGGATGTTCTTGACCATGTCGCCCATGCATAGACTGATGCTGTGGTGCATGAGGCTGTGGTCGCTGTGGTGTATATTCTACTGCCATGGTGGTCCAAACGAGACGATCAAAACGATCTTCCACTTCCAACCAGGAAAACAACGGCATCTCTCCAAGGCGTATTGGGCTTAGCGGTAGGAGTTATGCATCCCCAACAAGCAGTTCTCTACAAAGAGATGCATCAAGACGATCAAGAAGAGTTTCCACCAGTATCGGCATCTCTCAACCGCGCGTTGTTCTTGGTAGGCGAAACTACGAGTCACCCACGCAGTGTTCTCTACAAAGAGGCGCAACAGGACGAGTCGCTGCTGCTGTCCACCAAAAGAGGAGATCTAGCCAGAGGACTCCAGTAAATGGAACTCCTTTGACTCCAGCTGTGAAAAGACCTGCGATTGTCAACACTGGAAGCAACCAAAGAGCTACATCACGTGTCTTGTTTGATTCTTTACCAATCGATGCCGAAGTTATGGCCAAGTCGGTCGTAGCGCTCTTCCAGAAGAATACTGAGATTCAGAGTCGTTGGTGGCTGCTCTCCACAGCTGTGAATGTCTGCCATCGTCTAGCCAACTTCCATCCCAAAACACCACTCATTGAAGGAAGCTACGAGCTACAATTTACTGTTGAAACAGCACTTGCTGGCCTCCTGCAGCACAATTGCGTTGATGCAGGTTCAATGAAAGATCAGTCAAAGGGAATCTATATTCACACATTCAAAGAAACGACTGCCGTGTACGCTGATTTTTCTGCAGCAGTTCCTTGGATACCTCCAGCGGCGGTGTCAGATACTCCCGATTGGTTGAACCTACTGGAAACGCATAGGGTATCAATACGCCCGTATCTACCCTTGGGGCTCTACAAACTGTGCAACTATTGGTACTCTACTGAAGCTGAGAAGTTGTTTGGAGCTAGAGAAGACGAAACAGCAGAGGAGGCAGCACGGAACATTCAAGCAATCTTGATAGAAGGAGTCAAGACTGCAGGTGCTGCGAAAGATCTTATCGTTGGGCTTGCCAAGGATGATCCTCCAACATATTTTATTGATAACTACGATGGAGAGCCGCTGGAATTGAAGTTTGATCCCAACCGAGTGGACAAGCTTGTTCATGCTATCCAGATCAAATCGTATTATTTGCTCCGAGCAATAACTCTTATGCTGGAAGCTGACGCCGAGAATGAGCCACTCTGTTGGAAGGGCAAGTGCGAGCAAGCCATGGTTGCTGTACAAGTGAATACCGGAGACAAATCCATCAGTAACTACAAGGCAATCCAAGAGTGGCTTCGGCAGTTTCGGGAGCATTGTCGATTCAACAACCCACTGATGAGTGAGCGTATCGGGATATCCCTTTTTGTAAACCATCCAGAGGCCGCAACTGAAATGAGGGACTATGGCAACCAAAACATTCAACAACTGTCTGTTGACTTTATGCAAGCCTTTCTCCGTGCTAAACTCATTCCAAAGCTTGCCGCCAAGGAACGTGTTTCTGTGGAGGAATTCTTACAGTCGAATGGTTTAAAGAATATTTGCTGCAACACCACTCACCGTTGGTTGACATTCCTTGGATTTAAGAGGAGCCTATACAAGAAGGGCTTTTATACAGACATTCATGAGAGACCTGACGTCGTCTCTTCAAGGATAGAGTACTGTATCGAGTTGATGAAGTTAGAGTTACACTCCGCTGTTTGGGTTCAGCTGGTTCCAATCAGAGTACAACAACTGAAAAAGGACAATCGAATCTACCCCAACAATGCTGGCGTTCCTGTTCTCTGGCAAGGCCAAACCTTGATTGAATTTCATGTTGACGATATTGTGGACTCTCATAATCTTCCGGAGCTCCAGAGGAATCTGTTTGGAGGAAACTACAGCCTTCGACTGCCCGCCAATGCGAGCCGTACAATTGTTTGGGGGCAAGACGAAGTTGTGTCGAATGAGAAGGCAATGAATTCGATGGCGTGGTATGGGTCACACGGACAACAAGCCCTCCGACCCAAGGACCTTGGTTGCTCTATCATGATATCTGGAGTCGTTAGCAGAGAGGCAGGCTGGATGCCCATTCCAACACCAGAACAGCTACGATTGATCAATGCAAACAGAGCTGGCAAAGACTATGTTGCTAGAGATGCGGCCATTGCTGTCCATGGCAGCGCTGCCAAGTGTCCCTTCACAGAAAAGGATATCCAGAGTCGTTGCTGCCGGTGGCCTCTCCACCCAGGACAGAACAATGAAGGCTACTGGACAAACAGCCACACTATTGTCCAGCTTGAAAATATCGCAGATATGGCTGCTGTCATGTACCCTCACCACGACCATGTTATATGTTACGACCACAGCCAAGGACACACAGCAAAGCGGAAGGATGGTTTGGACGCATCTCGTCTCAACAAAGAGCCTGGTGGGCAGCAACCAAAGATGCATGAAACCACTCTGACGGAAGGCTGCCTTGGTCCTTTTGACAACAACGGATGTAGACTTTCTGTTGGTGCGGTCCAGCGATGTGTATTTTCAGAGGACGACCAAGGCCCAAGTTGGATGTCCTCCGAACAGCAATCTACAACCAAATATGACCAAGAGTTCGAGGGTGAAACTGCGACGAGAGCTCTACGGTCTAAAAAAGAAATCCACGCTCACCTGATCCACAAGCTTGGAAGCAACACTGCCGGGCTTCCATCTGATCCCTCACGCACTTCCCTAGCGTTCCTCCGAGACGTTGCCAATCAACACGGCATAGATCTATCCGTTGAGGAAGTCAAGAAGCAAAAAGGATGGGTCAACACTCCAAAAGGAGCTCTGCAAATGTGCATTGAGAGAGGCTTGGTTGACTTGGAGCTTGTGAAGAGACGAAAAGGGCACTACACGATGCCTGGGAGGAAAGATGCCGAAGGCAAGTTGATCGAGGGAACAAGCCTCCGCATGCTGCTCCAAGGATGCGATGATTTCAAAAAGGAAATCTCTATGCTAGAGTGGGTAGCCAAGCAGTATGGATGGCGAGTTATCTTCTCTCCAAAGTGCCATCCAGAAATCGCCGGTGTTGGCATTGAATACGTGTGGTCAGTGTCAAAGAACTGCCTTGTTCGGATCCCATTGCCACAACGAAAAGGAAAGGATCGCTTCACGAAGCAAGTCTTGGATGTGTGCTTCCACAGTGAGAAGACGCTGACGAAACAAACGGTGCGAGGCTGTGCACGGAAGGCGCGACAGTTTGTAATTGCCTATTTGCTTTTGCATGCAGTGGAAGCAGCCAGAGACGAAGGAACCGGCGGCACAAACCCGCTCACTGGAGAGGTGTCGATTGAGACGATGCGAAAGAAGCAATCCGAGCTGAAGTTTGCGACGATACGAGCAGCCCAAAAAATGTATAAGCGGCACCGAGGTATCGCCATGTTTGATCACGAAGAGGAGAAGATATCATTCACTAGCAGCGAGAGTATCGAAGACTGGATGAGAAAGGAACAAAGGAAGAGTGCTTAAGTATGAGGTTATTGTCTAGCTATGGATACCGCTAGTCTTGTTTTTCGATTGAGTTGCTGCTGTCGGTTTATAGGATAGTGTAGCAAACGAGTAAGAATTTGTACCAACGTCATTCCGTGCTAGTCGTAGCAATGAGTTGTCAGCTTGCTTTTCGACTAGGCCATCGCTTCACGCTTGGATTGGTCGGCATGAATAAGAGCAGGACGGAACAGCTTTGCAACGCGCCTGTTTTCACCATGGAACGGCATTGTAACTTGGAGTTTCGTAATGGCAAAGCTTCCCACAAACATCACAACGTCAACCAAGGCTCTCTGCGGTCCATGAGCACCATTCATCGTCTGAACGGCTCTTGTTTTGTTAATACTCCAGTCGGCTAGAGGCGGCAAATACAAGTGAGAGACGGTGGAGTCACAACCTCCATCCACTTGAAGCCGAAACTGACAAGAAGAGCCCCGCAACTTCTGGAAGGTGCCCTGACCAGCCACAGCCTTGCCGGAGCCATCAGCCATCCAATAGTATACATTGCACTGGAAGACCATGGCAACACCATGTCCATCCCCAGCATCAGCCATGACAGGATCCCAGAGCTGATTCATTGCTGCTTCTTTGTGTGCGTGACGGTGGCTTGTTTGCTGTTGCGGTTAGTGGCTTATTTGTTGTGGCCGTCGGTGGCTTGTTGGCTGTTGCCGTCGGTGGCTGTTGGCCAGTGGAAATGTGGGTCCACGACTGTTGGTGGAAGGAAGTGTAGACTGTTGGCGGAAGGAAGTGTAGACTGTCACTGTCGGTGGAATTGTGGGCTGTCGGGTGGTGGATTGGATTGGTTGTCGAGTGCGTCGATCCTTCACTTCAAAGCCGCGGCAACAGCAGTGCCGCGCGGCAAAATTCAAATTCAAACGCCGTACGGATTGATCGGTTGAGTTGGTCTCTCGACGACGGCTTGGCTGCTCATAATCTCCTCATCCAACTGAGCAAACAGCAACCATGGTCAACAACAAGGCATTCCATTCTCCAAATGACGAC